GTAATCATGATTCCCCATTATGTGGCCTTAAACCTTATAAAGTTTTCACCTATTAATTGGAAAGGCTATATTCTGTGCTTCTTAATATGGAAATATTTGAAGCTATAGTATATGAAGTTTTATTCAAATATTTCAAGGAAAAAGACACACTATGGTAACTACTATTAAATTGGGTTATTTGGTGGTGAAGCACTAGGTTACTGAAACAGTCATGCTTTGACTTGTATTGTTATATTGTTATGTTCTGTTTTATCTCAATCTCTCCCTTATTCTTTAAAAAAATTATTTAGTTATTTCTTATGTTTGTTTTAATTAAGGGGAAAAATTAAAAAAAATTAGCAGGATATATAATAGTAACTTTTTTTGATTTCCTATTAACTTGTTTTGAAGTCCTGTAATACTCCCATGATCTTGTTTTGACTGATTAGATTCTGTTCCATTCTGTATGATAGTATCAAGTTTGAGGCTATAGGCCACTACTTTGAAGGCAATAAGATTCACTAAGATGCCCATTCTGGTTTGACTATTGTCTCCTTTGGAAGTCCTGTAATTTTTACAATGCTTAAGTTTTATTGGTCTTGTTCTCTACTGTTTTGTTCAACTTTATAATATTTAATGAGATAGACAATTCTTTTTAAGGAAACAAGAGACATTGTTGATAACCATTGTTGATAACCTTGTACTCTGTTTTACATCATGTGCTATGTCTATCCTTGGTTTTGACTGACAGCTCTTTTTGCCATATTTGACTGTATTCTCTCCCCCCAAAAAAAGTAATAAGAACTAAGGAGTAATAAAACCCAAAATGTGTAAATTTTGTTGTAAAAAAGAGAGGGAAAAAAAAGAGCTCTAAAGGATACAACAGCAAGTGTGTTTAGGGGTGTTAAATAGCTGACCATATTAATGTTTTTGGTTGGATCATTGAACACAACTATTTGCAGTCTCACTGTTTGAATGTCCACTTTGTATGCTTTGATACTGTGATTTGAGCAACTATCTCTAAGACGATAATATGTAATCTATTAACTGGTGATTTCTTACTGTTTTTTTTTTGTAGTTCTGTATTACTTGTACCCTTATACCACTTTGTTTTGTTTTGTGTTTTTCTCTTTTTCCTTTTAAATAAAATTTTAAAAAAAGAAAATAAAAGATATTGACAGATTTTATTCAAAACTGATGTGATTGATAGTATCAAGTCTGAGAGTATAGGCAACTACACTGAAGATGACAAGACTCCACGATACACATTCTGGTTTGATAACTGCCTGCTTTTGAAGTTTTATACTATATACAAAGTTGTGTTTTTATTAATACTGTTATGTACTTATATATTCAGTTATACTATGTGTGATGATATAGCTAATTCTATTGAAGATAACAAGAGACAATACAGTTTCCTGGTAGAACTCCTTGTACAACAGTCTTATATGTCTTTTTCGTTTCATGTGTTTATAGGAATATGTTTTGTTTTGTCTTGCTTTGTTTTGTTTCTCCCTCTAATATAGAAAGGATAGAAATACATATCAAGACTCATACACATGTAGAATCTATAAACAGTTTGTGAGAACTGATCTTATGACACAGGATGAAATGCACAGATACTTTGAAGAAAAATAGACACTAAAGTACTCTGTGCTGATCCTGGAGTATCATAATGTGAAACCCAGCAATAGTATTATTCTTTGTTCAGAGTGATATTAGCCTGCTTGGGTTTGTTCAATCTCAACATGATTGAAGATATTTATAATTGCATGTATGTTTAAGTGTATAGGATTGATAACCATATTTATAAGTTTTTGTTGGATAGTTGAACAGAACTTTTTGCAGTCCTGCTGTTTGAATTCCCACTTTATATGTTCCACTTTTGTATCTTGAACAACTATTTGCAAAAGGACAGTATGTAAACACTAACTAGTGATTTCTTACTGTTTATTTTTTCTCTGAATGTATGTATTATTTCTACCCCAAAAAACTATTTATTTTCTAAAATAATAAGGATTTCAAAGGTGCACTCCTTTGGTCTTTTCATAAGATAGTTGTGACACCCAGCCATCACCTCCAGGTTCAAGGTGGCCTGGGTGGACAATTCAGACTCAGTAGCACTGTCTATCAAGAAGGCAAAAGCTCTTGTAATACTTACCACAGAATTCTGTCTAAAATGCCTTGGGCCTTGCTGGGTCAAATGTGTATCCCAAACTACAAAGGACCTGTGGAAGGAGATGGTAATGGATAAATGGTTTTGGAGCAATTAATCCACAGGGTTTATCACATGGAAAACCTAGCTCCAGCATGGAGTCAGTACTCAAGGAAGATTAGGTATTTCACATGTCTGAGTCTCTATATGTGTTTAGACATACGGTATTCTCTCTTTCTCTTCACAACCCTATGAGATGGCATCCTCCTTTAAAATGAGGCCTGACAAAACTGGGCGTGGTGCACACGCCTATAATCCCAGCACAGAGGATGCTGAAGCAGGAAGATCACTGCGAATTCAAGACCAGCCTGGGTTACAAAGTGAGCTCAAGGCCAACCTGAACTGCATAGTGAGACCCTGTCTCAAAAAGAAAAAAAAAAGGGGGGAAAGAAAAGAGCCCTGAGATACAGCTGGTAAGAGGAAGAGCTAGGGAACAAACTCATTTTCTTTTGTTTCATTTTCCTTCTCTTCCTCTCCCTACCAGCTTCCTCCTTCCCTGTTTCCTTCCATATTTTCTTTCTTCCTTCTGTTCAGTTTTCTTTTTCTTTTTGTTGTTGTTGTTGCTATTGTTTTGAGACAGCTGTATAGTTCAGGCTGGCCTCAAACTCACTGTGTAGTCCAGGATGGTCTTAAACTCAAAGTGATTCTCTTGCCTCAGCCTCTCAAGCATTGGGATTATAAACGTGTACTACAATACTCAATGCTTTTTTTCTTTCTTCCTTTCTCTCTCTCCTCTTAACAGTAATGAAAATTGAACCTAAGAAAAACATAGCTACATTCTCAGTCTTGGTATTTTTGTGACAGTCTTACTAAACTGTTCAGGCTGGTCTTAAATCTGTGATCTTCCTTCCTCAGCCTCCCTAGTAACTAGAACTACAGTCCATCTTAGTTCTTTCTGTAAGAGTAGATTAGTGAGACATAAAAAACCCAGGGCAAAACCCAGATGACTAACATTGTAAAGTCACAATGTGCTTCTCTATGGCTGATGATTGTAAAAATCATCACATGCATATTGTGTGTTATGTGCTTGAAAGGATGTATCCTACTTTTATTCTTTATGAAAATGTTATATTTATTGCATGCTTAAGAAAGCCTCAATTGATCCTGTCCCCTTCCCAGAAACAAAGGTTAGGATCCTGATATGTTTAGACCACACAATCAGTGAAAGTTATTTTTAGAAACCAGCTTACCCTTATAAGTATAAATTACACCTCAGATTCATTGGGTATTCCAAATGGGATGCCCTCATTTTCCAGCTCACTCTGCTGTTAGGACAGCTCTTTTGCTGCTTCTGCATTTGCCGTATTTTAAACAAACTTTTGCTTTGCACTATGTCAGTCTTGACTCTTCTTTTTTCCGATAACAGCCCCTCTTTCTTCTTCATTCTTTGCTGGAGTGAGGGCAAGGACTCGAAGAGAGGGAGAGAGTCATGATGGGAGCTCCTAGCTCCCCACCCCAGCTCACTGCTAGATGCAACATTTCTCATTGCAGTCTTAAGCCTCTTTCCACTGCTGCACATGTCCCACCCTCCCGAAAGTGGCCCCACTAAATTCTTGGTGATGGAGTCACATTAGGTTCTAGTAGGCTTGCTGAAAAAGAAGAGGAAAAGATCAGTTCTGAAATAAATTATTGTGTGTCCTTGGCGCTATACATGGAGTAATGATGAAGTCACAAGGAAGACTTTCCTAAATATATGTGCTAAACTTCTACTGTCCCTGCTTTTTGGAATGGTCACATTGAGAGGCTGAGCTTTTATTCTGCTGAAGCCACTACTGCTTAGAACTCATCTTTACAAGTCACAAAAAAGTCTCAATCTTATTACTGTAAAACTATACCTCAATTCTGACTGCAAAACCAGCTGTAGTTCGTATCCTTTCCCAGGAGTTCCAAGTTACTTTTTTTTAATTTTTTTTTTTTTGAGGCAGGGTCTCACTATGGAGTTCAGGCTGGCCTTGAACTCACTTTGTAGCCCAACTGACCTCAAACTTGTAGCAATCCCCCTGCCTCAGCTTCCAAGTTTCTGGGATTACAGGTATCAAGTGACTTTTTTTTATTTTAAAGGAGGTAAAATTAAACACAACAAAATAGGACATAAGAAAGCAAAGTAAAAGATATAAATTTCAAAGCTAGATGAGCTGAGATCTTCACTGTCTATCACATTGTCTGTTTTCTTCCAAATAGTTGTCCATGTCTTCACATACAGAGAATTCATACAAAACAACATAGTATAAAACTGATCTGAACAGTATGAGGAAGATGTTTAGTTCTTCAAAACCAGATAATAGGGAAGTTGCTAATGGCTTTTAGAAACCAGGGTAAGCTGGTTTCTAAAAATAACTTTCACTGATTGTGTGGTCTAAACATATCAGGGTCCTAACCTTTGTTTCTGGGAAGGGGACAGGATCAATTGAGGCTTTCTTAAGCATGCAATAAGTATAACATTTTCATAAAATGTTTGAAGAGTCTCTCATTCTCTTCAAAATAGCTGTCCGTGCTTTCATGTATATTGAAGTTCAACAAAACAAAACAGGCGGGGGTTGGGGGAGGGATTGCTTGGTTTCCCAGTGCTCCAGGTCCCAGCATGGCACTGGTCCCAGTAAACATCGGAGGCTCCCATCCTGGGTGGCTGAAGCCTGCCACGCTCACAGCCTCTCACAAGGTGGGGAGGGGTTGCTTGGTTTTCAGGGCTCCATGTCGGGGCATGGCGCGGATCCCAGTAAACGCTGGTGGCTCCTGTCCTGGGCCACCGCAGCCTGGCATGCTCAGAGCCGCTCACAGTGCGGGGGGGTGGGGGGGTCTTACTTCAAGCTGTTTCTTTCTAATGAATTGACCACTTCACTGCTTAAGTTCTGAAATGGACAATAGACCATAGAAAGACTTCTCTTTAGGCTCCTGCTTGAAACCAACAGCGTCAGGAAGCTGTAGGCCTTGATTCAGGGCCAGCCAAGTGACTTGTAACTGTTGCTAAATATCAAAAATCACTCCCCAAAGAGAGAACTGTACTGCAATTTAGATGTAAAAAAGTGCATTTTCTGTTTTGCAGCCAATTTTCAAATGAAACCTATAGAAATGCTTAAAATATTTGAAGCATTGTGCAAACAAATCATTCTAGGTTAAAGTTTTGCTGGATGATAGCTCTAAGCCTGTTGTATAATTTTTACTGTTTAAGAAAATCACTTCTGGGGGAGCACTGTGAAGTGAATCTTGGATTTGTTGAAATACAAATAGGATAACGTTGGTCAGGGTATGTGAGAAGAGCACGTTCATTTTTGGGGAAAAGAAAAGTTGGTTTTGCTTTCTCAGGGCAACTTGGCAGTGAGCATCACAAAACTTTAGTGTTTAGATCAGCTGGCCTAGAAATTTCAGGAAACATTCTATGTCTAGGAAACATCTCAGATGCAGACAAAGACTCAGAATACCCTTCTGAATGAAACAGGGTCTTGCTGTGTAGTCCAGGCTGTCCTCAAACTTCCTGCCTCAGTCTCATAAGTGCCTGACAGTCAAGGTAATTTTTTAAAGAGTTATCCACGATATTTGAGGATGTTCACAATAGGTGATAAAATCACATTATGAATGTACATCTTATGTTCCATTTTTACTTTTTTTTGTGGGGGGAGCAAACTCACAACCTTGTGCTTGCAAGGCAGCTGCTTACACCACTGAGCTAAAATCCCAGCCCCCATTTTTCCTTTTTTTAACTCTTCAAATTTTAGTTTTGATTTCAAATGAAAATTGTACATATGTTTTAATACATGCTTACATTGTAAAGGATTAAATAAAGCTGATTAATGCCAATTTTCTTTTTCTTTTTTATTATTTTAGCTTATTAGTACATGTGTGTAGTACATAATGTTTACTCATTTTTACCTTTTATATGCTCAAAAGACCTTAAATATGGTAAAAATATTACCAATGATTTTATCTGGATAATGAAATTATAGGAGACTTATATTTTTTATTTATTATACTTTTAATATATACAATTTTTATTATTGTGACTATATTACTTTTATAACTAGAAAATTAAGTATAATGAACATTAATATTACTTTTTAAAAAAGCTATATATAGTGACTAACATCTGTAATCTCAGCACTCAGGAGGCTGAGGCAGGAGGACTGCCATGAGTTTGAAGCCAGCCTGGGCTACGTAGTGAGTTCTAGGCCACCACGAATTACATAGCAAATCCCTGCCTCAAAAAATGAAAAGAAAAAAGCAAGAAAAACAAGGCAAATGTGGTGGTACATGCTTGTGATCTTAGCTACTTAGAAGGCTGAAATAGGAGGATCACAAGTTCAAGGTCAGCTTGTGTGACTTAGTGAAACTGTTTCAAAATTAAAATTGAAAAGACCTAGGGATGTAGCACAGTGGCAAAGCACTTGATTAGCATGTGTAAGGTGCTGGGTTCAATCCTAGTCCCATAAAAATCAAGAGGGGAAAAAAAACCCAAAGAGAAAGAAATATGTCTTACTGGGAGAGACAAAAATCTATCCCCAAGGGACTGAAGGTTTAACGAAAGATATAAGACATATACACAAATAAGACATATAAGACTTATATATATGTCTTATGACATATATAAGACATATATATATGTCTTACATATATGTCTTATATAAGACATATAAGACAAATGCATTTACTAGAAGGCAGTACTGATAACAATGGGGGTTTTATCAAGTGTATTGGGAAGGATCAGCTCTGCCTGGGAGAGCTGAAGTTTATATGGGATCTTGAAGGATAAATAGGAGTTCTCTAGGGCTTTGTAAATTGTTAAGCACTATCTAAATGTAATTTAGTCTTTGGAATTTATTATTCCTGTCAAGGCTTACCTCATATAAAGCTCTCTTTCTTGTCTCTGTTCCATGCTCCCTGAACCCCAGAATCCCAGGGACGGGAAGCAGCAGCAGTTAAACAGTCACACCTCAGTGCTCCAGCAAGTGAACTGAGGTGCATCCAACTAAGGAACAGATCCAGGAGAACATAAAATGATCTGGAGCAGAGCCAGGGAGGTGCTAGTGGGTAATCAGTTTCCCCACGTACCATTCTTTGAAAAGACTGACTTTGCTTGGGGTCTCATCTTGATGAATGGGGTCATCTCCACTTGAGGGCTGATAAAAACTGAGAACCAGTATCACAAATCAGTCTGTGATTTACATTGGCAGGACATTTCCTGTGTCAAATGTTTTACAGCTTCCAGACAGGGTAGCGTGGAAAGAAGGGGTATGAGTGAAGAGACCGGAAAGCATAGCAAGAAATGATTTGAATGGAGAAATTCTTCTAAGCTCAAGAAGGGAGGGAATTTGTTTCCTGATTAAACCTTCTGATTGCCCCCCTGATATCCCCACCTAGTATCACACTTCTCTTGCCTTCCAGGTCTTGCTCAGAGGCCACATCTTTTACCAGTAGACCAGTACCTTGGTTCACAGTCTATCCATGATTCTGATTGAAACTGAGTTGGATGAGAACCAGTCCAATTCAGTGGTTAGGTTCAGTGTTGACATTTTGGGGACATTTCATTCAATTCTTTTCCAGCTTGAATGCAACCAGTTCAGTTCGTGAACTGAAGCACCGCTGCATTACTTTCTGCCTCAGTTCCACTGGCCTATGCTTCAAGAGTTCTTAATTGTTTAATTTTATAACAAAAATTTAATGCCTGTGGTGTTTCAGGTATTGTGCTCATATTAGGTCCTTGATTATGGTATGTTTTCATGTGCCTCCACTTCTCCACTTGTATATTCATGCAACAAACATATATTGAATATCTACAATATGTCACACAGTGATTGTGTCATAGGATGGAGAAAAAGAGAGCCACAAGCTCAGGTTCTCATAGACCTGTCCTTCTAGTGGAAGAGACAGATAATAAAAAATAAAAGAACAGGAAAATACCAAGTTATAAAAATTAAGAATGTACCAATGACTAACCACCTTCTGCTAAGTCCCACCTCCTAAATGTTCTACCACTTCTCAATGCCACAAAAAATAGAGTTCAAGTTTCTAGCACATGAACCTTTGGGAGACATCAAATCCTAACCCACAGTAGAAGGAAACTGTGGCATTCTGCATCAAACACCTTCTTTTATTTACTGACAAGTGAAAATCTTCTCATGTATCTGAATTTAACTCAAGCATTGCCTCTTTAGGCAAATTTCTTCTGGTTTTCCCAGATGGAAACGAACACCATCTTTTCTTTTCTTTTAACTCTCAGTACACTTGGGTTAGCACATCTTTAATCTTTTGCCATCTTACCATACTAAATCATTGCTACTCCATAGTAGACATCAGTCTCATCCAAGGGCAGGACTGAGCTTCTTACATAAATCCCCATACACAGCAGAGACTGACACAGGGTCTGTGGTCTGTAGCTATGTTTCTGGAATATATGAACTCTCACATAGAACTCCATCAGAACATTGCCAGTGATGCTTATTCAAATTTGGCAACATTTATTTATCATTGCCAGGCCTTGTCCTGGGTACTTTCTACTCTTTGACTCATAAATCTTTCCACTTCCCTATTCAAGAAGTATGATTACCCTATTCTGTAGTTAAAACTCAGAAAATGAAAGTGACTATTCAAGTCAGCCCAGTAACAGAAATCAGAGCTTAGATTTGATCCCAAGTCCTCTTGATGCCAAATCCCAATGCATATCTCCTAGATGATGTCACGTCATACCTCAGCTCACTTGTGAACCTGACGTTCTTTTCCCTTGGTATATATCCCCAAGGGAAGGCTCTGTACTTGGCTCCATTCCGTACTCCCTCTGGCACCAGAATAGTGCTTTGTATTTAGTACACTCTCATTACACATGTCCTAAGTCTCCAGGGGGTAGAAAAGAGAAAGACTGAGTGTGTGAATGAATGCTTTGGAAATCAGTTCATAGCATAGCAATGGGCTGGCGGAAAAGCCGCTTCTGAGACGTGTGCCTCATCAGATACATCCAGGCATTTCTCTGGTGGGCTTGAGGAAAGCCAAAGATGCTGTCTCTGGACTTGTTCATTTCTTAGAAATCACACCTTTTGCTCAGCAGCACATCTCTGCAGGCAGGCAGACAGGCAGACAGGGCAGAGGGGACCATGCATGACTTCCAACGAGTTGGGAAAATGAGGTTAGGTTTCGATTCAGATAGCTATTTGTGTTTTCTGGGTTTGCGTGGTCAATAAATTTTCAACGAGCAGTGATTCTGTTCCTCATCTTTCATTGCTTTATGAGACTTCAGGGAATGAAAGCATAACATCCTGCTTTCCCATAAGTTCTCTGGCTGCTACCCTGGCACCAATTAAAGACACGTCTATGCAATTAATCAAAACCAAATTGGAAGTATTCTGATGCTGCTGCTCTGATGTGCTGCCTGCACCACATACAGTAGTTCCTCAGCTGGCGCAGCAGAGCCAGGCACATAGGGGCTTTTGATGAACTGGCTGTGCTGGCCCCAAGAGTTAACTATGTCATCTGACATGACTAATGAGGCTCCGGACTTGATCCGTGTAAGCAGAGCGGTCCAGCAGTCTGGAGGAGGCTCATTTTCCACAGCAAGCCTGGGAAGAGGATATATTCAGGGTGCATACTCCATCATGTCAGCTGGAGTCCTGGAGGCCTCTAGTGTTGGAGCTGGGAGTTGTCTGTGGGAAGGGCAATGGAAACCATGCACTGGCTCTGTGCTGCGTGCCAGTGTGAATGTGACCCAATTTAACTTCTAACTCAGCTTCCTTGTTTTACAGACATGAAAACAAAAAGTCAGCAAAAGTGTAGAGCTTGCCAGAGTCCTGAGTGTTGAAGAGAAACATAAAGGAAGGTATGGTTTCTGCCATTAAGGAGCGAAATCCTTAGTGGAGCAGGTAATACATATGACAGTAACAACTGGGGATCTGATGGAAATATGCCCTATCCAGGGTTAAACCATAGGCTTCCTCCCTTATGCAAACTTTTGTCAAGAGGAA